AGGTCTTTGATAAACTCTTTGATTGTCTCACATTCTTTCTGCTGTCTCAGGTGGAAATTATACTCTTCAAAAGTTTCAATTTGTTTGGGTATACAATATTCCTCAAACTTTTTTTATTAGTGTGCCATAGCTTTTCTGTTCTGCTTCTGACAGTTCTAGGCTATTATAAAGAGACAGAGAGCTTCTGAACCTGCTATATTAAAAAAAAAAATAGCTACCTTGAGTGACTCTTCCTTCTCTGTAGCTCCACTGGCCATTACACGTATGGTGAAGCTCTGCTTAAATTTCTTCCAGCTTTCTGCTGCACTGCTGGACAGCTTTAACTCTTCTGGAATTCTGAGATGCTCCTTTTTTGCCCTTTTTCTTACCCCACTCATGGTACCATGTGTTGTTCTCAAAAGAACAAAAAGTTAAGCATATAGAATGATAAAGCTTATTTATTCAGAGAGCAGCACCTTGCCTGCTGTTTCTTCCTGCAATCCCCCGGCAAATGTAAACACTTGTAAATAACACTCTTAAAGACATCCACACCATGCTGTCTTCCTCAGTCACTGACTCCGAGATTTTTCATATTGGTTCTTCAATTATTTGTCCTCACTGTTTTATTTAACAGGAAAACTGACAGGTAAAAACATGTCTGGAAAAGTCAAGCTGCACTATTTCAATGGCAGAGGCCGAATGGAAACAATACGGTGGCTCCTGGCAGGGGCTGGGGTTGAGGTACACGTCTGTTTCATAAAGAAATCCTAGTACACGTGCACAATTGAATAGAAATGTCCATTCCATATAGAAACATGATTTAGTGGTAGTTGTTACTTCAATACTCCATTCATATACACAATTGATAACTGCAAATATGCAGCCAGCCTAATGACTCCTGGCTGTTTATGGTGATATGTTTCTCTAGTGACCAGAGACATCATGGAGTTGTACTTTCAGTTCAAGTAGCAAGGTCAGATATCTATCTTCACTGATGACTATGACATCCATAACCTTCTACTCTGTGCTGTGTGTGTCTCACCTCTTTACCCAGTCTAAAAAGGATGTGGATCTTTTACAGCCAGAGCAAAAACTCTTTACCGCACACTCTAAAAAGTACATCTTTGAATAATGAAAGTGTCCAGGTCAGTCCTGGTATTGGTCAAAGTGAGGTATCACACTGGGGATGGGTCCTGTGGACCAGAGGTTCTCAACTTTTTAGACTCCAGGAACTCCCTGGAAAAATGCCAGTTCTTAGTCTCCATTCATTTTTTTTGCATACAAAAAATAATAGAGCAACATTTCTATTGCACAGAACTCTGAAAGCCTACAGCTATGTATTTCTGTTTGAAATCTCTGGGTTTATCTTGTGAATCATGTCTGTAAACCTAACAGTGTTAACATTGTGAAGTAGCCTGCGGCACCCATGAAAGGATCTCAAGGCACTCCAGGGTGCTGTGGCACCTGGGTTGAGAATCACTGCTACTGGCCTACCCAACTCAAACAGATAGTACAATATTAATAGAAATTAACAAACTGTTTCTGCTGCTAACTGAACTGTGGGGCAAGCACAAGAGTTATGGTAGCCCTGCCATACTGGTTTTCCATAACCTAGCACATTTCTGGGTGTTGCTGTTGCACACAACCTTCTTTCTTCCTGCTCAGAGGTTGTAATAAAACCCCAGAGTATGGTCCGATCACTGCAACAAGTGCTTTTCCTTCTCCTTACCCCACCCATGCTGGCTTGCTAAACACTCCATGTAATGTCCAGCATGAATGTAATTGTGTGCTGGCCTTGTACAGAAGAAAGTGTGCTCAGTTTTCTGACTACTGTGTATATTTGGCAGATGTTGCCACAATTCAGAGAGTATGTGTGAAGCATGAAGAGGCAAAGGGAGACTGTGATGCAGGCAGAACTGTTTGAAAAAAACACTGAATGCCTTAAAAGACTGTTTCAAAATATAAAATCCCAAAGGGAAATATCAATTAATCTTAATTTTCTCATGGGCAGTAACAGTAAAAACCTTCACTCTACTTTCTTGTCTTCCAGTTTGAAGAATATTTCTTTGAAACCAGAGAAGAACTTATAAAGCTGCAACAGTGTAAGCTTCCTTGAATGAATGTTATTAGAATTGTTTCCCAATTTAGAATTCAAAAGAATTTTGTCATGTTTTCAAAGATTATTTCCACTGCATTGTGACATTGCCTAAATGCACACTCTTGCACATAGTAGGATTGTTGTAGTATCATAGCTGTGATGGTTCAGGGAATATGTGAGAATTAACTTTTCATTGGGGAGCAATATTTATATATCACTCCCAAACAATGAAGCTGCTGCATGCATGCTAACCCCTAGCCACCTATCAGTTCTTACTCAAGAGAAAGTCAGAGAAAGTTAGCAGATACTTGGTAATTCTGCTTTAGTGGGGATGATTGGGAGATTGAATCACTGATTTTTTTCACTTCTTTTAAAAGCGGGAGTTCTACTGTTCCAGCAAGTACCCCTAGTGGAAATTGATGGGATGAAGATGGTGCAGACCAGAGCCATTCTCAACTATATTGCAGCAAAGCACAATCTCTATGGGAAGGACCTGAAGGAGAGAGTCCTGTACTGTAACAGCACTGCCTTTGTCTAACAGAACATGATAAATTACTATACAGCACAAGGAAAAAACATCCAGGCTCATAAATTAGGTGTTGTGCTGTGTAATGTCATGACTCAGCACATTTCCATTGGTCTCCAGCCAAGTTCAGCAATGTTAAATATTAGCTAATTAGATTAGAGACATGCTAGAAGGTGTTGTTAGTTTGACTGGCTTATCTGAGTTGAAAGCAGTTTTCAGAACTAAGCATGGATCAATTTCTCACCTGATGTCATAAGAACATTAGACCACGAGAAGTGCCATAATGGGTCAGAACAATGGTGCATCTAGCCCACAATCCTGTCTCCGACAGGGGCACATATCTTCCTTGGCATCTACCCTTTATTGGTTTAGAGGTGCCAGAGGAAACATCTCCAACCCTTCTGTTCAACAGCCATTAATGGACTTATCTTCCATGAATTTATTTAGTCCCTCTATGAACCTCGCTATACTATATGTCTCCACCACCTCCTGTTGCAATGAATTCCACAAGTTAACTACATGCTGCATAAAAAAGTACTTTCTCTTGTTAGTTTTAAATCTGTCACCTACTAATTTCAGTGGGTGCCTCCTAATTCTAGTATGCTGGGACCTGGTTTCCTGTTGGCTTGGTCCATACCCTTCATAGTTGTCTAGCCTTTATCATCTCCCCCATCAGCCTTCTCCTTTCCAAACTGAAGATTTTTAGCCTTTCCAGTATTTCCTGGTATGACAACTTTTCCAGAGTCCAGATCATTTTGCTTACCCTTCTCTGTACCTATTCCAATTAGACTATGTCCTTATTGAGATGTGGGGAACAGAATTTGCACATAGTATTGAAGATATGAGCATGTTTATGGGGAGCTTACAACTGTAGGAGATTCACAGGCAGCCCACAATGCTTGCAGGCCAAGAGTCAAGGAAATACTTTTTATGTCTATACAAAAACTAGTCTTAGCCCTAAAGAACTGAATGTAAAGAGACAGTGTTTTCATGGCAGCTGAGTTCCATCCTAACACTTCTCAAATGAATTAACAATGACAAATTAATTGCATTGTAGCACACAAGACAGGGGGCCACAGATACAAGTATTATATTTAATGCAACACTGTAACACCCCAACTTATTCTTAGTGAGAAACATTGTGTGCCAGTAAAAGCAGCCAGTATCTTTGTATTTCAATTGATCTTGTTTATTTAGAAGCCAAAATATGGTAGGTACGCTTGACTCCTATCAATTGAGTTTTAAAATGTTGACCTGAATCTTTAATTTAGAGGATTCACACCCCCAATGATAAAGCAGATGATATACATGTACACAGTGGTTTGGATCAGATAAATTGAACACCAATAGGTATGCCATCTGTCACTTATCCTCCTGACCTTGGAGTTATTGCACTGGGGGAAAACAGGGAAAAAATCCCCCAAACCAAAGTTAACTGAGTAAGTTTCAGTTGTTGAAACCAATAGGAACACACACTTTCTTTCAGGATTGATATGTATGTAGAAGCAACAATGGATCTGAATGACCTCATCATGCGCCATCCCATGCAACCACCTGAGGGAAGAGAGAAGAATCTTGCCTTAATTGTGGATAAGGCCACCAATAGATACTTCCCTGCCTATGAAAAGGTAAGTTATCAGAGTAAACAATTCACTTTCATTATAGCATTGATGTCTAGATAATATTTCCACTAAGTTTCTGACTATGAGGGTAGTCAAGCATTGGAACAGACTACTAGAGAAATTATGGAACCTCCATCCTCCAACCTCCAAATTGTGGAAATTTTCAAGAACAAACTAGACAGACCTTTTTCTGGGATGGTTTAATCAGGGATGATCCTGCCTTGAGCAGGGAGCTGGACTAGATGAGTTTGTGAGGTTCCTTCCAGCCCTACTTTCCTATAATCCAATTATTCTATTTTAGCATGTGTGCATTCATATTAGTGGAAAGGGAAGAAATAACATATTTACTTGAATTGACAATGACTTTGTATTTAAGATGACATGGAAAAAATATAATTTGTTATACTTTTTCACATATAGAATCTAATTACTAGAGGGTTGTCTTAAATTCACCCCCTCCACAGCTGTGGTGGGGAAAGTAGTGGCGGGAGGAAAAGCAGCCTGTCCCTAGCCCCCCACTCCTTGCCCCCTCAGCCAGTCCCCACAATCCCCTGCCCTCCTGCTGCCACTTACCTATACTGCCACCTGGCTCTGGCTCCAGGGCATGGAGCATCAGGTGGCCAGGTAGCAGCAGCAGTGGCAGCTGTAGTCCCTCAAGCACCAACCTTGTGTTGGAGTCAAATCCAGGGCCAGGGCTGGGGCTGCTGCCAGGGCTAGAGCTGCCACAGATCCCCTGTCATGGCACAGTCCCCAGTGCTCCCCCTGCACCATGCACTCTCCCACATGTCACTCTCCCACTACACAATATCCCTTGTGGCCACCCCCAACACTATGTGATCACCCTTGTGCTCCCCCCAAACTCTCAATCTTCCCCACACCTTCCTAGATTGTACAATCCCCCTTGACTCCCTCTGGTCTATGTGATCTCCCCCACACCCCACCCCCTGCAGTGCACCATCTTTCCCAGGATCCCCATCCATCCCTATGCTGCACAGTTTCCACTATGTTGGAACTGGAGTCAAAGACGGAGCTGGTGATGCAGTAGTGCCTGCCCCAGCTAGTACTCAAATCTAAGATGGGATTTCTTTTCCTCAAGTTGAATGGGGGGAAAACCTCATCCTGAGTTCCAGTAAATATGGGATATTCGAAGTACGCACAAGGGTACTACTTAAGGCACAAGGCATATTCTTAGCCACAAGGATCTGTGAAGATAGAAGTGCTTTTAAACAGATCAGGATAATTTAAACACTCCAAATTTCCACATTTTAGCAAGTTCCTTTAAGACAGTATATGTTAAAAAATAATATTGAGTTGCAAGCTCTACAATGCTAGTTTTCCCTCTGAAGTAAGGGTGCCTGTTCTACAGGGTACCTAAAATAAGGACCATTACATTTCTGCCTATAGCACACTGAGAGTGGAAAGCCAGAATTAGCTAAGCTTCAAGAATGAACCTTGCAGTAGGTAAAATGGAGGGTTTCTTATACCCTAACTCATGCCTAATTAGGGAAGAAGGAAAGAAAGCAAGAAGGACGGGTGTCCAGGAATAGGTGATTGAATGCCTAGAATAAAAATGAACTACTTTTTATTGGTTTCCTAGACCAAGGAATCTTTAGTAGCTTGGAATGCGGTAAGTTTTTGCATTCATAGAAAAATATGATCTGTCCATACTAACAGTAACACAGTATTAGATGGAATTGCAGAAGATCTCTTTATTTTAAAGGGCTTTTGAGCTTAGTCCTTATTGCACAATGGAGAAGGATATGTAAAAGGATAAGTTCTAATATCCAATCCATTATAATTCTGTTACAGATAAAACAAAACAAAACATACACAGGAGAGGGAAGGGAAGAGAATCTTCCAGTTACACACAGTGCATCATTATTTATTATGCATAATACCTATGAGGAAAGTACAGCCAAGCATTTTTTGTCTTGCCATCAATTCAATTTTTGTATTCCTACCTTTCGGGGATAACTCATATGCATAGCATAACCTTCATATGCTTTGAAAACAACAGGTTAGGTTTAGCTATTATAATTATCCAAGGAACAACATCTCTCAGTTGTACACTTACATTCATTGTTTCATGTTCTGTAGGTTTTGAAAGACCATGGACAAGATTATCTTGTTGGCAACCAGTTCAGCCGCGCAGATGTACAAGTGCTTGAAACCATTTTAATGATGGAAGAGATGAAACCAGATATACTTGCCAAGTTCCCACTCTTACAGGTAACTGAGTGAGCAGATCTAGTGAATCACTCTTTGTTTTCCAAAAGTTTAATTTGGAGACACCTGCCTGAAGTATTAAGGATCTTGTGAAACTTGCAGGGACAGAAGTCAATGGAGTCATTTGATCTACACCAGATGAAAGATGCTCTTGTCCAAAAAAAAAAAAATTAATGTCTCTGAAGAATGGGGCAGTTCAGTGAGTTCTAGAGCTAGGGACAGACATTCAAGATGCCAGAGGCTGAATTGATTCAACCTTTGCAGGTTAGTCTAAACTGCCTAGGTTGAACGTGCAGACATGCGGGCACATGCCTGCAATTACTCAGGCCAGGAGCTGGGGGCACTAGAGCATGCCCTCGGCTGCAGGGAAAGTTGTGCTGGAAGGACATGGCCAGTCCAGGATGAACTGGCCAGAGAGAGGTTTCATTCCCTGCTCCCTGTCCCACTGGTAGGAAACTCAGCTGGGTCTGCCAGGTGCCCCCCCGTTGCTGCAGCCGTGGGCCAGCATGGCCCCTGAGCCAGAGGGAGCAGGGAGAGGGGTTATTCTCCCCGCTACCTCCATTTCCCCTGGGGACCGCACCCAGGTCTGCCTGCCCCAACCGCTGCCAAGAAGCAGAATAAGTGCACCCCTGTCCCCTTCACTGGATGCTAGAGGGAAGGGGAATAACCCGCCCTGTCAGGTGAGGACTGGCTAGGGAACAGGCTTCCTCGGCCAGCTCGCAGGTGGTGGTGGGACCCAAGCTTGGCAACTGTCACCACCATGTCCCCTGTCCTGAGCAGCACCCAGGGCTGCAACCTAACAAGTAGCTGTGGGCTGCCCGGGATGGGGGCTGTTCTTCCCCGCTCGTCTACAGCTGCCACTGCCACCACTATGCCATGCTGTGCTGTGCCACACTGCTGGGGTGTGTAGGGGGGAAGCTTCTGCCTTGCTCATGGAACTCCGGCTCCAGCTCCCGGGTGCCTTGGAAGGCAGGAGGCTCTCGGGTGGGAGGCTTTAGTCTGGGGCAGTCACTGGAGCTCCATGTGCGGGGCACAAGCTGCAGGGCTGAATCTCTCCCCCTCCAGCTGCCTCCTGGAGCG